ATTAAATAAAAAAAAAAAAAAAAAAAAAAGACGGTGAATTTTATGTTATCTGTATTTTACCACAATTTAAAAAATAACTTGAAATTTAATTCCCAATATTTTAGGTTTTATAGAGCTGTTATTTGCTTCAGCTTTAACTGGGACATTGAATGATTAAGAGCATGGCATTTCATCTCCGCATTTCAAAATATATTTTCCTAATGCCCAAGGAAGCATCTGACCACATTCAACATCATACTTGCTGGGAAGACTCTCAAGAACAGTCTTTTCCTACAGAACTTCAGGCTCTTCCACTTCACCTGTTTCTTCCTCCTTGATGAGAATCCAAAGAAATCTTTCCTCTCATTCTGTTTCTTCCAGGTACATACACGGTCAAAAAACCCGAAAGAATGGCCCCTAGCAGAATTTGACATCCGTGATCTTCCATCACGACTTATTTTTGTGCGGCTTTTATAATCTGTATTAGGAAAGCAACAACTCTCCCCTTATCAGATTATCAACAGCATCACCGAGGGATCTCATCCACTTGTTACTCTTTTTATCCCTTGCGCTTTCCACCCCAGTGGCTCTATGCTTGGCTCCAAACATGTCTTCCTGGTATACACTCTTCATCTCTCATATGGCTGTGAACAGATAAATGTTTCCATTCCAGTGATGAGCCTATTCCAGCACATTTTAATGATATTCCTGTTACTGTATATAACTTCCTGGAATGGAGACTTGAGACCACAAGTTCAGTCACTGTGTTTTTGCCACAGCATCTCTTCCTAAAGTCTTTTGGCTACTTCCTCCAGTACTTTGGTTATATATCACTTTTTCTCCTCAATAGCATCCAATCTTAACAGTTTCATTAGCAATTTTTCCCTCTTTATAAAAGTTTAGTGTCCATTTTTCTCAAACCTACTGAATTTCTTGATTCCTATTAGAATCTATTTTCCCAATTCCAAGGTGAGGCTGAATACCTTAGAGTGAAGCTGATCATTACCTGGGAAGACAAGATAGAAGGAGTTCGGCCAGGACCTGAGTTATTATATACGCTTTTTAGGAAAAAAGATCAGAGGAACTATACCTCAGTGGTTAAGTCATGACTACCAGAAATTCAGATAGAGGGAGGTCAAGCTTAATACCTGGTATCAATGGATTCAAGAAAACACAGACGGCTCTCCCAAAGAGCAGGAAGGGCACAATAATGGACAGTCCAAGCAGATGTTTCTCAGAAACCCAAAGGCTGCATCTAGGAAGCCTGGTCAAAGAAACATAGCACAGGTCACGAGACTGGGGATCAGAGGAAACTAATGGAAGCAGAGCAGGATGTCATTTTCAACAGGAAGTTGAAGAACTAGGCTGATTACCTGTACAGAGTACCTAAGTGAGGTGTTCTTTCCCCAAGGTCCATGGGCTTTCAAGCTATCTTCTAACTGAAGATTTTCAATAATTTTTTAAAAAATACGGAACGCTTCATGAATTTGCGTGTATCTTTGCACAGGGGCCATGCTAATCTTCTCTGGATCGTTCCAATTTTAGTATACGTACTGCCAAAGTGAGCATGATTTTCACTAATTTCTAACTGAAATTTAGCATTTTCCTAAATTATGAACATAGGCAAAAAACCAGTGGAACTAGCAGCACTTGTGATCACAAATATTTTACATCACATTACAGCTATTACAGATCTCAAAATATACTTTACATTCATCACTATTTCACAGTTACAATATTTATTAGACCTGCCACCAGATTTTGTCATTTAATATATTAATAAACACATACTATTCCATTATAATTTTTAAAATTCTCACCCAAGGGTATGTTTATTGATTTTAAAGAGGAAGGGAGAAAGAGAGAAATGTGTTGCCTCCTGTATGTGCCCCAACTAGAAATCGAACCCACAACCTAGGTATGTGCTCTGACCAGGAATCGAACCTGCAACCTCTTGGTGTACAGAATGACACCTCCAATCAACTAAATCAAGCAGCCAGGGCTGTTAGAATTTTTAAAGTATTTTGATAACTTTATTTCACATAACTGATTTCATTTGAAATCCTATGTATTTTCTGTATTTAAAAACATTAAGAAGGAGTTCACATGCTTCATCAGACTGCTAACAGGGTCTTCATCTTAAAGAATCAATTAAGAAAATTGGAGGACGTAAGAATTTGGTGATGAGTCTCCAGCATCAACAACAAAGCAAATTACTGAAACAAAATTACATGGTACTTTACAAAGTACTTTCGTTCTCCTTATCTTAATTGTGTAATATTCATTCAAAATTTTAACAATTTAATTCCTCTAAAAATAACTGTTATTTTTAAAAATGGAAGACTCTTAATTTAGGAAAGACACCTGAACAAAAAGAGTTCTACCTGTACTACTGAAATGGTTTTCACCTATTTCTTCATTTTAGCCCAGCATCTTCCCCTTTTGGGAAGTGCACTTTCTCTGCTTGGTGGGCTGCCACTCACCTACCACAGGAATGGACACATGACCCCTCACCTCCATTTCCCTGCATCCAGCACTGGTCCGAGTGTGAAAATCCTAACCAAAGCAGAGCCAATCTTTTATGAAATGACATTAGCATTTGAAGAGAGGGTCCATTTCTTTCTTTCCCAAGACCTTAAAACAAAGGAACCACTTAAACCTGGAATAGCTTAGGGGCACCTTTGCCACTACAGTAGTACCTCGGTTTCTGACCATCTCGGTTGACGAACATTTCGGGTTACGAACGCCGTAAACCCAAAAGGAAATGCTTCGGTCTTCGAACATACCTCGGAAGTCAAACATGCCACATGGCTTCCACTGAGGGCAAGATCCTGAGGCCCAGCTGTTGGCTGTTGATCCCTTGGTTTTCTAATGTTCAGAACTCGGTCTTCTGGAACGGATTACATTCGAAAACCAAGGTACCACTGTACATGGAAAAAACCTGTCTGAAAATAAGGGTAAAGAAGAAAGCAGAGTTGATCCTGCCGTGGCTAAAGCCTTTCATTAACTCAGTTAAATGAAACACTAAAGTCCTTCTTTTGCTTATATCAGTCTGAGCTGGGTTTCTTTCTCCTGTAACTGAAAGAATTCTGAAAAATACATTTAAGAATTTAGGTCAGCCCTGGCTGGTGTTGCTCAGTGGTTACAGCACTGGCCCAGGTACAGAAGGGTCGAGGGTTTGATTCCCTGTTAGGGGCATGTAGTTGGGTTGTAGGTTCAATCCCAGCCCCCACTGGGATGTGTTTGGGAGACAACCAACGGATGTGTCGACACATCAATGTCTCTCTCTCCCCGCCCTCCGCCTCTCTCTAAAAACTTGCTCCTATTTAATGATATATGGACATTATAGGCAGCCAGTCTGCTGAACAGAAATTCTACTTCTACTACATGCTAGCTATGGGACCCTAGATAATTTCACCTGTGTCTCAGTTCCCTTATCTGTAAAATGGTGATATTAGGGCTGTTGTGAGAATTAAATATTATACACACAAGTGCTAAACATATAATAAACAGTCAGTAAATGTAACCATTAAGATCATAAGAAAGACTGTATATTTAGATAAGAGGAAATGTTCTATAAATCCAAAGAAATGTATTGAAAGTTCAGAGGAAGAGAAGCGGATATGGGAAGCTAATCACAGTAAGCTTACTGCTCACAGCAGTAAGGATTCCAACATTAGTGACCACATTTCCTACCTCCCTTAGCTAAGAAATCCAAACAGATGTCTGATGCACAACAGAAAAGGTAAAAACACTGGGAGTTTGTGAATTAATGTTTTTTAGAAAGATTTTTCAATATGGGTTCTTTTATCTTCTAAATGTGTGTGTTTGTTTTTCAACCCTCACCCGAGGACATTTTTCATTGCTTTTCAGAGAGAGTGGAAGGGGGAGAGAGAAAGAAACATCGATGTTAGGAGACATATCGATTGGTTGCGTCTGCACACACCCCAACCAGGGCCAGGGATCGACCCTGCAACAGAGGTACGTGCCCTTGGCCAGAATCGAACCCAGGACCCTTCAGTCTGGAGGCTGACACTTTAACCACTGAGCCAAACTGGCTAAGGCTAAACGCATTTTCTTAAATCTTTCCCTGATATTTGTTCAAAATGGTACCAAAATAATTGGTTTGAGGTCTGATGCATGATTCACACATTGACACCTATCAAGTAGGAAACTCAACCTCAATGGGAAACACTTACCTGAGATTTACGAGCTCTAGGTAGTAATCCTGATTCAGACACTAACAAGCTGTGAGTCCTTAGATTTGCTAACCTTTCTGTCACAAAGAAGATGTGATCTTATATGGAACTTACAGTCTAATTGGGAGATGACTAACTGAGATGCAAAACAGACCTAAAATTAGGAATGCAAGGATCAAATTCAGTGACGGAAGAGAACCATGTGGGTCAAGAGTGAGGGAAGGCTTGCAGCACAGGGAATACAGTCACTAATAACTATGCATGGGGCCAGGTGAGTACTTGAACTACTCGGAGGGACCACGCAGAAGCCATACCCTGGTTAAGCTCTTAGAAATGGGCAGCAGAGAGTGAGGGAACAAACTTTCCAGGTAGGGAAATGTAAGAGGGTTTCAGTAATTAGAAGTTCATGTCAAGAGACTAAATTCGGGAATGCCTTTAAACATTTAAGGGCAAAAATGTAATTATGAAACAATAAATTTGTGCCCTTTCACTACATACTTTCAACCACCACCAAATCTTTCCAAATCACTCCTCCACAAATTGATTCCAGCTACTCCTAATAATTGGCAAACTGTGATGTTTCCCTTTTCTGGTGGTCCCTACATACTTTCTGGGTAATATTCATTTCACACTTGTTTCCAATGGACTCTCTTGCACACTTCCCAGCAAAATGCTAAGGTAGGGAAACTATCATTTCATTTTTAAAAAAATAAACTTTGAAGTGCTAATTATACAATAAACATTCCATTAAAACATATGATGAATTGACTTCAATAAGCCAAAAAAAAAAAAAAATCAAACCACCAGAATACAGTAACAACTACAAGATTTATTGTTAAACATTTATATTTTACAAAAGTAATTAAGTATTGAGATGACCCAGGAAGCCTGTTTAAAATCGGTAACTTAAAGGTAAAACATTGTTCTGCAGTTTTAAGATTATATTAAGATTGAATTAGATTCAATTAAGTATGCATAGTAAAAGTAAAAATTCAAAGTCAAAGGTTAACCACTATAAGAACAGAAATAGAGTATACAGAGTAATATATCTTCCAAAAAAGTAGAAGAGAAAAAGTGAAAAGAGAAAAGACGACCTCAAGTCAAAAAGACAAGAAGACATTTAAAGAAGGCAAAGAAAGTACAAAGTATACAATGGTAGAAAAAGTCCAAATCCATGTATTATGAAGAGCCTACTAAAAGCCAAATGCTGTTTCAGGCACTAGGGATGCAGCACTAAACAAAACACAGAAAAATATCTGCTGTCATGAGTGGACGAAATATAATAAACCAGAAAAATTAATATACCACAAGGCATGTCATAAAATGACAAGCACAGGGACAGTGAGTGCAATGGACACGTAAGGGAAGGATATGTCTGGGAAAGCCTCACTGAAAAGGTAATGATAAAAAAGCAAGAGGGAAGTAAGGGAATGAACCATGTGGACATATGGGGGAAGAACATTCCGGGCAAAGGAAGGGCAAGTGCAAATATCCTTAGGCTGGGATGTGCTTGAGGAGGTCATGGTGGAACAAAGGGGAGAATACAAGAAGGGAAATCAAAGGTAAAGCAGGACTGCATCATACAGGACCTGGGGGCCACTCTAAAGACTTGGCTTCTACTCTCAGTGAAATGGATAGTCCTTGGAGGATTTTTTGAAAGGAGGTAGATAATCTGGTTTTTTAAGAAGGATCCCTCTAGATGCTGTGATGCAAACAGACTGAAAGCAGAAAAAGTAGCCTGGTGGTGTGGCTCAGCCAGCTGGGCGTTGTCAGGTGCACCAGAAGGTTGCCAGTTGGATTCCCAGTCAGGGCACATGCCGGGGGTTTGGGGCTCCATCCCTGGTGAGGGGAGTTCAGGAGGAGCCCACGATGTTGTGGTCTCACATCCACGTCTCTCTCAAAAACAAATCATTGGGAGTTCGGGTTTAAAAAAAAGAAAGAAAAGAAAAAGCAGACTAGTTAGGTGGCTACTGTTCAACCAAGTGAGAGACGACTGTAACTTGGACAAGTGGTGCAACGGGTTTGGAGGTCTGGACAGATTTTGAAGGCCAGTCCAAAGGGTGTGCTGATAGATTGATTACATGTTTCGGAAAGAAATGAGTCAAGGATGACTCCAAAGGTTCTGACCGGAACAAGTATCTCAGGAGTGCAATGATGAACCTCAGTACAATAAACCTGCCAGTCAAAAGCAGAGGCTGTGGACTAGGATTCAAAAAAGAAAAAAGCCTCCAGTGATAGGCCGTGTATAAAAGCATACAGCAAGGTTAAAACTAAAGAGATGAAAAAAGTATGAAACAAATATCAAATAACAGCTGCCATGCCTGCATGTTAATGAACGTCAGACAAAAGAGAGGTCTGCTCCTCTTAACCTGTACCGACCCTTTCTCTAACAGTTTGGCGTTGTCAACCTTGTCTCCCCCACCGGACTGAGGCTTCTCTGGGAACAGGGATGTCACACCCTCACCTGGGTCCGCCCACAATTTAGGGCAGTTCCCCAGCTGGCAGCAAGCACGATGTAAAAAGTTTAAATGTTCTCCAGCCACTTCACATTATTTCTCCTCCATCACAAATGTTAAATGACTTGGAA